AGGAGCAGCAGCAGCAGCGGTGGCACATCAGTCATCTCACCGCTGCCATGCTGCACGCTGCCAGCCTGCAACAAATCACCGCCGATGTTAAGAACAATATTAACAAAAATGCCTGAGGAAAATAATCATCATATGTACGAAGCACTTTGCCAGTGAGAATTTCCTTCCTCTGAAACAAATCCCACGACAGCACAAACAATCCCTCCGACTTACTCCTTGCCCACAAACCCAAAAATTCGCAATAATTTAATGTTAATATTTTAGAAATCACTTAAACATTAATCACGTAGCACCTCGTGACAGAAGCAACAGAGATCCGACTTTATCGTAATAATACCAGCGAAGACAGGTTCACATTGAACCCGGCGTGGAACCCCGCAAGAAATATGCTTAAGCAATCAGGAGAAATGCAAAGGAAATTACAAGGAGTACAAAGTTAAAGTCACCCAAGTCATCGGACAGCATTAGAAACCGGATATTACAGGACTAATACGAAAACGGATCTAAGTAACATCCCTTGCGGGTTAGAAATTCACGAAACTCGGATCTTAAAATCATTAAATGAAATAGTAATGACGGTTTGGGTAACTGTGCAGTGGATATGCAACCGAGCAGTCTGAAAAGATTTTCCAGGCTGAGAAGAAGTCATCGCAAATCCCGCGGCAGCGTTAAGTCACACAGACTTCCGAATTTTGACTGCACAGAAAGTTACTGTGAAACACAGATGTTGTATAACGCACAGTCTCAAAGCGAGTGACGATGCAACCAGCTTACGAACGTTAGGATTCACATTATCTTCAATCTATTTAGCGTCCGATACCGACGGCAAATTGCTGATTGGCGAAGAATTAGAACAGCGATTTCAGTATATTTACGATCCACAACTGTTTCCTTGAGATGATTTAGCGCATCAGATATGGATTCAATCCAAGAATTGTTACACCGAGATACCTCGTGTTATCTGTGACTACTGTATGGACGGGATGAGCCGGGATAGCTCAGTCAGTATAGTGACTAGCTACGGGCTGGACGACCGGGGTTCGATCCCCGACGGGGGCAGAGG